CCCGTGCGCGAATCAACCATAGGTGCAATCATTGAAGATTCAGTGGGGGAAGGAAGTTGGATGGCACTGATCAGAGTGTACTTAGAACAGGGGGCTCTCCTGGAAGACAGCAGGGAAGTGTGGCAAGTGAAGCGCAAAGCCGCGCGTTGCACGTTGATCAACGGCCAGATATACAAGCGGTCACACTCGGGTGTCTACCTAAGGTGCCTTACTGAGGCGGAAGGAAAAGAGGCAATTGAAGAGGTGCATCAAGGTGCGTGCGGCATGCATGCTGGGGCGCGGAGTTTGGAGAAAATCTTGTTGAGGCAGGAGTATTACTGGCCAACCATCTGGGCGGATGCGACGAAGTATGTTGCCACCTGGCACCAGTTTTAGATACATGCTAACGACATTCATGTCCCAGCTGCTCCCATGCGGGGAAATGTGGGCGCATGACCCTTCTCACAGTGGGGTATGGACCTATTGGGGCCATTCCCCAAAGCACCTGGGCAGATGAAGTACTTGATAGTGGCGGTGAATTATTTCTCCAAATGAATTGAGGCCGAGCCCCTTGCGTCCATAACACAGGCTCAGTGTTAGATACATGCCAACGACTTTCATGTCCCAGCTGTTCCCATGCGGGGAAATGTGGGCGCATGACCCTTCTCACAGTGGGGTATGGACCTATTAGGGCCATTCCTTAAAGCACCTGGGAAGATGAAGTACTTGATAGTGGCGGTGAAGTATTTCTCCAAATGGATTGAGGGCGAGCCCCTTGCGTCCATAACACAGGCTCAGGTGCGTCGGTTCACAAATAGGAACATCTTCACTCGGTTTGGGCTACCAAAGACAATCGTAGCCAATCATGGAAAGCAGTTTGATTGCAAGCAGTTCATAGACTTCTGCGACGAGAAGGGGGGTGATATTGCACTTCTCATCGGTGGCATATCTGCAAGCGAATGGACAGACAGAAGCTGCCAACAAGAGCATATTCCACGGCTTGCATACAAGACTGCTAGACGTAAATGGCAGATGGGTCGAGGAGCTCCCGAGCGTGCTATAGGCGCATCGGACGACATACAAGGTGGCAACGGGGGAATCCCCTTTCGCGCTCACAACAGGATTGAGGCGGTCATCTAGGTGGAATTGCGCATGCCTACCTTCAGTCTGTCAAACTACAAGGCGCAGGCCAACGAGGGGGGGTGCATACATGACCTGGATATGCTCGAAGAGAGACGTGATGTTGCCTCCATCCGATTGGAAGCTATGAAACGGCAAGTTTCCAGGTATTACGACCAGAAGATGTGCCCTCATCGGATAAAGCATGGGAGCCTGGTATTGAAAAGGGACTTCAGGCCAAAAGCCAGCGAAGGAAAACTCGCGCCCAAATTGAAGGGACCTTATCGTGTTCGTGAGGTGGTGGGGCTTGCCATGTTCAAGCTGGAACGCTTGGGAGGCAAGAGAATCAAGCGTACGTGGAATGAACAGAACCTCCGAGTTTACCATGGTAAAGGGGATGGGGGGGGGGATGATGGAGTAGGCGCGGGCGGTATGATAGAATGGGCGCATATATTTTTGTGGGAGGTGTGCTTCACCTTTTGACGTGCGTGTTTTCGTGTAAAGTGAGGACAAGGATAGTGAGCATGTAAAGCGCCCTAACCATGTTGCGCCCTTACTCTTGTTCAGATAGTAATTCCATAACGGACACAACATACTCAACAAGAACAATCGCGTCGAACGCCACATCCGGATGATTGGCGTGGAACTTGGTCCTCAGCGTCTCCACTGTGTTGATCATAGTGTTAGCCTGAAGATCCTTGTCAGACCGGACACCTGGCAAGGGGCGCATGGGACAAAAGACACCCAATGGTCGGAAGTGTACGAAAAGCTGGTCACATGATGCCATGCGCCTCAAACTCCTGACGAAGGTGTCAGGTGGTCGAGGCGCATGCACAAGGGTTGTACGACGCATTTATTGCGGACCTGGCACAAGGCGAGAGCGACGGATACCGATCGATCTCGCTCCGGTATAAATAGTGAAGTAGGTAAACCTCATTTACTCAGTTTTGCTTCTCTTACTAGAACTGTTCTTCACTTCTCTCTCTAGAGGAAAGGTTCTCACTTGGGCGTCGGAGTGCTAACGGACCCATCCGGTCCTCTAGGTGCTTGTGTGTGCAGGCAGAAGCGTGTGAAGAAGCGTAATAGGAAGCAAGGCGTGCAGCATGGAGAGGAGGATTTCGGGGCATAAACACACGTTTATATTTATGGTTGTACCAATGGGTCACAATATAGATGCTACGGTGCTGCCTGCTAGGCTGATGATCGGAAGATTACAAAAGGTATCTCTTATCAATTAATTAGTTTGTTGTGCTAGAAGTCAAATTCATTTTGAGAAATTAAACAATGACTTAGCCAGAATATTCTAAATTAAGGAGTGTCTTTCTTTATTAATAAGTATATATATAATAAACTAAGGAGAGTCAATGCTTAATCATATGGGGAGCCTGGTTGTTCTTTTGTCGTTTTCTCAATGTTTAATCTTATTTGATTAACCAACAAAAGAAAATTCTTATTTGATGGATGAACCAATGTTTTTATATAATAATGGTGAATATGATATAAATTAGAATAAAAAGTGCAGAAACTATAAGAGGTTAAAAGGGTTAACTATCCCTTTCCCAACAACTCGAGTTATTGAGGCCAAGTGGTTAGTTCGCTAACATGGTATCAGAGCCTAGAACCGAAAGGTCATGGTTTCGAATCCTCATAACGTCCCCCATTTCATGCCAATTCGTTTAGCACAAGGAATGATATGTCCAACCTGTGCAAACTAAAGCCTCATACATAAGAGATGGTGGAGATCACAAGATCTGATCTCGAATCAGTGAAAATCAAAAGGAAAAGAAAAACGAAAATCAAAAGGGGAGAGGAACCGGGGGTGTTGGAAGGGCTAGACCTCCTCTACAGAACCAAAACAATTAAATCAAAGGATTTGAATAGCCATCACAAAAGGGTTAGCGGGAGGATGCCTCATGAAGCCCAAGAATAAACGAACCAAGTAATTAACAATCCAAAATAATCGCACTCGATAAACAAGTGATTTATCATCTCCTCATGTTTGTGGCACATATCCATCGATTAGCATATCTTAATAGTCACTTGCCCATCATTGCTTTGTTAAAGCCTGACAAATCGACCAATCTCAAGCCTCCAAGCTCTTTGGGAGCTTTACGAATATCCCACTTTACCAATGGAGATTTTTTTTTATCTTCCGTCCCTCTCCAAATGAATCGCCGCTGAATCCTTTCCATATTCTTCACCATTGTCGTAGGTGCCCCAAGTAGTGAAAAATGATAAACAGGCTGGCTTGTAGGGATGACAATTTTGACCTGACCCGTTTTACCCAACCTGTTTGACCTGTTTTGGGGCAGGTCCGACCCGCCCCGCCTACGGATAGTCTCATCGACCCGACCTGCCCTGACTCGCCTCATTCTCGACCTGTTCTTCTCTAAATTAGATGTAATCTCAGTCAAATTACTTAGGATTATTCTTTTATTGCATCATATTTTAGCTAGAATAAAGTTGTAAATTAATGAAAATGTTAATTTTGTTAAGAATCAATCGGCAAGTGAGAGAAAGGAAGCGACCCTTCCAGCTATCAAACCTCTTTTAATATTTGCCACAAATGGAATTCCACGTGGAGACGACATTAAGTTTAGCTCTATGCGGGAATCCAAGATATTTAGAAGGTTCACTGCTCCATTTGCAGCCAAAAAATACAGCATAATAATCCGATTTTGGCACAACCCCAATCGTAAACATGATCAACTTCTCCAAGTTGATTTTTGAGCCAGTCACAGCCTGAAAGCATACTAGTGTTATGACGATATTTTAGACTTGGTCGTAGGCAGCATCACAAGAGATTAGTGTATCATCTGCAAACATGAGGTGAGTAACTTCTCTGGTAGAATTGCTCTCATTCATGCATAACCCCTAAGTCTTTTCATTCTTTTTGAGCTTAGAAACGAGGAATGAAGCAATCCATGACCAAAACAAAGTGCCCTGACGATAACGGATCTCCTTGTTGTAAATCAGGAATGAAACTCGTTGAAAGCATTCACAATTTTAGGTTGAAGCCATTGCCCGCATTTCTTGTAGAACTCCAATGTAAAACCATCCGGCTCAGGGGCTTTACCCCGTCACTGTCGTTAATTGCTTTCCAAATATCGTCTTCTGAGAAAGGGCGGATAAGAATGTGACGAACACTGAAACGAACACAAAAAATCGAAAATTTACCAGTACTATACTAGCTCCGAATCGAGCGAGGGCTGGGCCGTGGCCCGGGGTTGGCCCCCCCTAGATCCGCCGCTGCCTCTCACTCTCTTTCTGGGAGACCGCTGAGAAAGGGAGAGATGGATAAAAATAATGTAGATATGATTTTTTTCTATTGGTTCCGAAATAGTATATTATTGTTTTTCATAGGTATTGATTTATTTCTCTAATGGTATCATTTTGATTTCACAATAGTAGTGGTATTGGTTGATTTTGGTATTCATTTGAGGCTGGTAAATATATTCGTAATTTTAGGGTAATGCTATTGTTTTTCATAATGGTATTGATTTTTTTCTGCAATAGTATTGATGTTTTTTCGAAGCGGTAGTGATTGTCTAATGGGGTATTGATGTCTTGTTTTATTTTTACATTAGTATTATTTTTTTCCGTGGAATATAGTGGTATTATTTCGACTGAACAAAGGCAAGAAAAAAATTTGAGAAAAAGAAAGAATATAGATCTGTCTGGAGACAGGAGGAATGTGAAAAAAGATAAAGAGAAAATTTTAATTAATATGTTAATGTAACTTACTCAAATATAATTTATTTAAAAAAATAAATTAATAAATATTTTTTTCATATCCAATTTGTCTAACTAAAGTAAAGCAAGTAGATGGGGCTAAAAGTCGTTAGCACCTCATACACGCATCAATTATTACAATAAATAAAGACCCATTAAATTAACGTTTACCAGAAAGACCATTTTAATAAGCATTATAATTATCAACGTCCACCAATAGTAGTGGTAACTCGGCCGTCGACCCTCTTTATTTATTTATTTATATCTTCTTCTCTCCCTACCATTAGCATCTAAGCATTGAAACCCAACGCCAGTCAATCAAATCAAACACCCGGCCAAAATATGACAAAGGAAACTTACGGAATAGAATACACTCTGTCGTCGTCGGCCGACGATGTCTGGGGAGCCATCTTCGCGGCGACGTCAATCTATCCCAAGTTCCTCCCGGACCTCTACGAGGAAATCAGATCCACCAGGCGCGACGGCTACAGCCAAGGCTCCATCCGCGAGATCACTTATGGCCCAGGTAACTCTTTCTAGCTACTACGTCAAATATTCACCACTTGGTCCCAATAATTAACTCGAGTTGTTGAAGAAAGAAAAAAAAAGGTTTGTGTTAACCCTTTTTATCTCCTACACATTCGTTGATTATATTATGTAGATTTCAAGCTGGTGACGACGGCGCGCGAGGAGCTGACGAAGGTAGATCACGGCGAGATGACGGTGTGGTGCACCGTCGTGAGCGGTGAGTTCGTGAGCAAACACTACCGGACGTTCAAGACCGTCACGGCGGTGAAGCCGCGGGAAGGTCAAGAGGCGGGGGAACCGGGGTGTGCTGTGACTTGGAGCTGTACCCACACCGGGGAAGCAGGCTCCATGAGCAAGGAGGCCGTTATCAAACTTGTGAAGAAGACCTTGGATGGCTTGGACACCCATCTCCAGAGGCTGAGGGAGTAAAGCCCTAAAGCTATCATATCATGAACTACTTTGTAATTTTATTTTTATATTCTTATGTTCCTTATGAATCATGGATCGGTCTCTAATCTTTGTCATACCTCAACTGCTGAACGATTAATGTACTCATTCGGTTGCCATTTAACATTATCATGACTCACTCGATCCATTAGCAATACGACAAAAAATCTAGTTATTTACATATGTCCTACATGAAACTAAATGCCTTATGACGGGCCTAGTTTCCTTGGTAGGATTGGTTCGGTCCGCACCTCTCGTACGTTCTTGTATCAGGAACTCGTTTGTTTTTGTTTATTGCAATCTATTAATCACCCTTATAAAAAAATATTGCGAATAGTGTAATATAGTGGTTGAAAACTATACCATCGCCATATGTGTTTAACTAAGTTCTTTTATGAATTTATGTGTTATATAATCAAGGCGCAACTTAGTTGTGATCAACTAAGTTGCGTTCCGATTATATGGTAACTTTTTCCTATTAAGATTAAAAGAACGAATATAAGTTAAGTAGTAGAAAAAACCCATTTCTTGACTGGCTAATGGACTCGGGTAAACTACCTACATCCATATCGCATGCATATTAATATATATATAAAGTTGAAGTAAGTTTACTGTTGCATAAATATCCAAATTTAATTAAATCATAATTTAATCACTATAATGTACATTTTGCATTTTGATATCTCAAATTTAATTTTAATGTAAATTCATTGGACAATTATATTTTGGTATCTACATTTTATAAGATTTTCGTACCTACAATTTTTAAAATTTACATATTGGTCCAATATTTAGATTTCACTTTAATGCGTGGATATCCATACCCAACTCATACACATTTAGATTATGGAAGTAAATATCCATACCCTACTCAAACCCTTCTACAAACTTCCAAACTCACATATACGTCACTCATACACTACCCATTATCAAGTCAATATTACTAACAAACTTGCTAAATTTTTTTAGGTTTAGACGACTAATAATACTAACAAAACACCATAACGGGCAACATAATACATACCAATAGGCTATCTCCACCCCGCGACAAGGCGCGGCATCGCCACCTAGTAGTAATTAAATGTTAAACATAAAAACATATACCCACATCATATCAATATCAATATCATATCTATATTATATCACTATCATATACACATTATACAACTGTTAGTAGTAATATTGTGATATGACAATAGTATGATGACCTGAAAATTTTGTGCTCCCAAAAAATCAAAATAGATATATTGTAGACCACAAAAGAAAACTAATTTTAGGTGCAATTTTTTTGAAGAATGTAAAATGAATGCACAATGATCCGTTGAATTTTTGTTTGAGATTTGAAAAGTGTTTTAACAGCACACCTGGAGATCCACGCAAAGATAAGAAAAGAGAAGGGAACACACAAGACACTAGCTTATAACCCGACCTATTGGTGGGAGGTACCTGAGTCAAATATTGAATTATTGGGGACTTTTTCCAGAAATACCACTGTTTTAAAAAAAAATTCCAAAAATACCACCTAACCCCAAAAAATTCCAAAAATACAACCTTTTCAAAAACCGCCACCCCACCCTGTGGTTTACACGAAAACCGCTGGATGGGGTGCGGTTTTCTATGCAAACAGCTGGGCTAAGGGGTGGTTATAAAAACCGCTGGGTGGGGCGCGGTTTTGGACCAAACCGCCACCCCACCCAGCGGTTTGGTCCAAATTTTTTTGGTTTTTTCGATCAACTCCTAACTTCGGCCGAAACTTCAAACAAACGTAACTTTGCACTCGGGTATCCAATCGTAGTGATTTTTTTTTGAATCCGAATAACTTTTCGAGATCTTGCATAATTTCGAAATGTACATGGATTTGTGAAAAGTAAAGGTTAAGTTATTCCCAAGGTCCCGTATATCCACAACTAATTCCTGTTTTAAATATTTCATCCTAGTAAAAGTTGTAGATCTCGAAAAGTTATTCGGATTCAAAAAAAAATTCATGACGTTCAGATTTTGGAGCACAAAGTTAAGGCCGCCCAAAGTTTGACGAAATAAAAAAAAGGCTCGTTCAGGGTAGCAAATGACGTTTTTTTGAGACGAAGGCGGGACCAACCCGCCTACGGCCGTTTGCGGCTAGCAAGATCTCGAAAAGTTATTCGGATTCAATGAAAAATCGCTACGATCGGATACCCAAGTGCAAAGTTACGTTTGTTTGAAGTTTCGGCCGAAGTTAGGAGTTGATCGAAAAAACAAAAAAAATTTGGACCAAACCGCTGGGTGGGGTGGCGGTTTGGCCCAAAACCGCCGCCCCACCCAGCGGTTTTTATAACCGCCCTTTAGCCCAGTGGTTTGCATAGAACCGAACCCCCGCCCAGCGGTTTTCGTGTAAACCGCAGGGTGGGGTGGCAGTTTTTGGAAAAGGTGGTATTTTTGGATTTTTTTGGGGTTGGGTGGTATTTTTTATATTTTTTTTAAACAGTGGTACTTTTGGATTTTTTCCAATTATTGGTATGAACATAATAATGATCTCGGCTCATGTATATTGTGAGGGAAATATCTCATTAGTCACTTGTCCTTAGTTGGTAATGGAATAGGGAATAAGTTACGTGAATTTGTTTCAGTGTTTAGGATAGCAAAGAAGACTACAGGAATGAGACCTACTTCGAGTTAAACTTAACATCTAGCAAGTCTTCATTGTATCTTTCATACAGGCAACGACAACACTTCAATTCGAATTGGATAAGAGATTTCCAGGAGTAAGTAAACCCCTTACAGTGGAATAAGTAATTAGAAGAAAGATTAAAATTTGGAAGTAAAGAAATACACATTCAATTATCCAAATTGATTTGAAGACTCAAATGTTGGTGAAAATCCAAATGTAGCATGTTTGCAAAATATTCAGGCATGAAACACACTTAAAAAGAAAAGAAGAAAACATATTATATGTGTCCTTATGGTTTGTGTTATCTTCCCACCATAGTGAGCATTCGCAAGAAAAAAGTGAATGACAAAAAATTTAGGAATGTTAGGGAGCGATGATATTCTGGCATCGTGTTTTTATTGGAGTGATTGGAAGATGTGCCAAACGCATACAATAATTGACAATAACAACATCAACATCAATGTTATCAGTACTTCCGTGTAGTGATGGCCTAGCTGGGGATCCAAGGGCGGTCATAGATTGGGAAGAGGAATGCACACTCTGGATAGCAACATGTGCTAAGAGATAAAGTGGCGAGAATGGTAATAAGATACACATGACATTGTCTTCATTCAAATGAACCTTGTCATAACTAATAAAGAATTGCAACTCAAAAAGAGGATGGACTCTAATCATTACAACATTCAAATAAAGAATTTCATCAACTGCCTTAAGCTTTCACTTCTCTATTCTTTAATCTAATAATTTATGAATAGAAATAGAAATATATATATATAAAAGAATTATGTAAATGATATATTCATAACAAAATAAATTACATCCATTGTTTCTAGATCTACACCATTTCCGTACTGAATGTAGCTACCTAAGTTGACCTAAGAAATAAGCAAAAATGTCCACATCCCGGTAATAAAAGTTGGATGCAGACTTAAATATCTCTAAGCAAAACTCACGCCATAGGAATCAGTAGCAACATATTTTCAAACCCAAAAGAGAACTGGAAATTTTCTCATTACTGAAATTAACATCATGCAAAAGACACCCACGTAAACAAATGCAAGCATATCTTTCCTGAAAGTTGAAGCAACAAAAAAATGATTGTGAAAACATTATGCATTGATATGATATAAGTTAAAGTTTGATGACATTTCAATTTTCACCTCGAATCCTTAAAAGTTTGCAAGTAAGAAAAACAATCTTAGCATATAAATTGAGGAAGGACAACTAAAAATAAGAAAACCATTTGTGGTTGAGCAAAATGGATAAGTTTGAGGAAGGGGGTTTTCATCAAATACCCGCCTATGCATATTTCTGTAATTCAAAGAGGATCAACTTCATACCAGTAAACTACATGAATGCCAATCAACTAGATCAATTCCACGTATCAATAGTAATCAAGTAATCAAACTATGCATTGTGTTAGATGATATAATGTCCATACTTGATGACTTGATATATACACATGTTTTTGTCCACCATTCTTCTATCGTTTGAGTCTCATCTCTCGTGTTTTAGGCCGATTTCATGCTAGGTTTTTCGTGTTTGTGATATTTCAGGTCCTAGTACGTGAATAAAGGTTCGGGCACGAGTTTGGGGTCGATTGGACAAAGTTGGAACGATTGAGAGGAAGCTGGGAAACCACACGGCCAGAACTTGCGGCATGCATGAAGCCACTTAAGTGAAACGCGGCGTTTTTCACTTCCACACGAGCAGCTGGAAATTCTACACGGCCTTGTGGAATGGCCGTGTAGTCGTGAAATTATGGGTTTTAACCCAATTTTGGGTCTTTTGAGAAGGGAGTCGATTGTTAGAGCTAGAAACAGACTCCTAGAGAGAGAAAGTGCGAAGAAGACACCCTAGAGGTGATTTTGGAGCTGGGTTTCATCAATCAAGCTTGGATTTCATCCTTGGAGTGAAGATCATCATCCCAGAGCAGATTCTTCCCATCTTGATGAGTATGACTGCTTTGTTTTCGGTTTCCCTCTCTCTTTCTATGTAGTAGAACCCTCTTTCACCTGGGTATGGAGAACCCTAGTTCCATGTGTTAGGGCTATCGATTGTAATGACTTTTGGTTTGTGATACTGCTTGATTATAATCGATTGAAGTGTTTTGATTGAGTCAATTGAAGCGTGATTTCCTGATTTCTGCTGCAACCTGAGATAGAGAATCTGATTAGGTTGTTAGAGCTTCTTCAATCGGTAGTAGTGAATCGATTATACAAGATTTAGTCGATTCACTGCTTTGTACTGGAATCCAATTCCAGTAGTGGAGTTCTGTATTTATTGCCTCAGCAGTCCATCCTGGTGATGGCTAGTCGCCTGTCGTTTAGTCTGTCTGAGAGGGTTTGGTCAGCTTAAGAGATTCCAAGCTACTGTCGGATCTTCTGCATTTTAATATACAGTAAATCAACCAAAGGTAATTACAACTTTGACCTAACTAAGGAGCTAGGGGTACTCATTCCCGAGTGAATCTTCCCTTGCTTAAGAACATCGACAATTTCCTGTTTTTTTTACTGCTTTAGCTAAAATCACATTCACTCAACTTAGTCAGCTAGATAATAGATAATCACGGAGTAGGCAGTAGATCAAGACCCCGGGTTGATAAACAGAACTTGCCACTATTCTGCATTTTTGGACTGCGATTTACACTTGGTCGCAGTTTGGTGTTGTGTTTTAGCGTGTCAAGTT